TGGCAGGTCAGAATCAGCTGCTTGGTGAACTTTGTTGTCTATATGGTGTTCCAACAACAACAAAGTAAGCCATTTTATTGGTTATCATACATAATTTTTTGGGCATAAATTTAGGACTTTGGACAATGGGCATGTGCTGTTTCGGTACAGTTTAAATTGGGTTGTAGAGAGCACATGGCTTGAGTTTCAATTTTTACATTAAATTTCAAACAAATATTCTGGTGTAAAATAATTTAACTTTGATAATGTGTATGCTTGCAGTCGTAGTTTTTGCTTAATGTTAAACTTTCCACGTTCTGTTATGTAGTGATTCAATCAGATTTGATTTTTACAAGCCAAAATCTAACGTCTCTAGTAATCTCACGTTCAAATTAAGTGCATCAACCTTCGCACTTCACAAGGTAAAGAAAACTATCAGTCATTCTAATACGAGGTTTACTATTCTTCATGGTCTTTTTTGATTGAAAATCTTAAGAGTTTATGAATATTTGAAAATTTTCTAACTTTATTATTACTTTTATTTTTATTTTGCTATCAAATATTTTACTTCTATTTCTATATATGTTCTAAAAGTACAAATGCTTTTTTTTAATCGGTATAAAAAATATTTTTCTAATATAGTGATTTTCTTTCTTTTAAATTAAATATTATGTAAATATATATTTTTTTATCGTATACTAATTAATAGTAATGTAAACGACAGTGATATGTTACATCTTTTCTATAAAAATGTGTACTAAATATTTTTTATTTGTACATTTCAAAATTTTATTTCAAAAATTATAAAAAAAATAAATATAAATTATTTAAATAGACATAAATACATCCACATACTCTGAATCACCCATTTCTATTTTTATAATCACTATATAATTTTTTATTTGTTTAAAAAACATAGACTTTGCAACTAGTTTATACAATAATATTAGTTAGCTGGCAGTAATATAAACAAGTTGACGTTAAAATTTAGCCATATCAACTTGTATCTATATATTATTATATATTTTGTAACAACTTGGGTGCACTCTCTCGTTAGTCAATGGAAAGAGTCTATCGGGATTTATTTAATTAAGGGATGTCACCTCCATGAAATATAGCTAACAGATTCTCAGTTTTAAAATCTTGTATATAGTTAACAAATTAACAAAGAGAGCAACAATTTGCAAATAAAAACAAGCAAAGTTTGTTTTTATAAAAGTATAAACAATGTTTTTCATTTATTTTTTTGCCAGCTGGAGCTAATTTCATTACAAAGCTATTGTTGTAACTATTTAATAGCCCTTAGCTATAGTTAAAATAAATGTAATTTCAAATCATTTTTTTGTAGTTTTCAAGTTATATCTGTGTAATTCTTTTATCAAGTCTTATGCATTTAATAACTATGTAAAGGAGAATTTTTTTTAATTATCATAATTATTAATATTAAATTTTAATTAAAATTAAATAACAATAAATAAGTAATTAAGTTGGTCTTGTACTGTATGAGTGAAATATCAAATAATTTCATATATTAATGTAAAAATACAATAAGAATTTAAATTTTTTTTTTGTAGTAAATCAAAATAAGAATTTTCAAAACACCCAACCTCCAGTATAAATATTGTAACATCTCAGATTATATAGAAATATATAACATAGTAAGTCCACATTTTAATATTATAGAACAGTTAGAGAAAGACTGTAAATAAAATATTAAGGTTACAGTTATCCCAAAAGAAGTCATAATTTAAAACTTTAAACACATTAGAGTATTTCAAAATCAACAGGAACAACTAGTAATCCTAACTAGACTAAGTGGCAGCGTCATCTCCTTCCAAGGCCTGTTCTAGAGGCACCTCATCTACCTCTCCTCACATCCAAGTGGATGATCATTACAAAAGAAAAACACACACAAGCAAAATACAACACAGAAGCAAGGGTGAGCTAGATGTACAAAAATCATGTTATAATAATCACATACAATATGCAAGTAAAGACAGATATACTTGACTATACAAACATGACTTGTTTCACCTTAAACTGGACTCATCCGAACTTATAATGATTGTCGAGCTATGGTGGGTTATGCACTCGTGGTGGCTTCTACTGCTTTGCAAAGCCGTTGCCAATGAGTTTCACTCTACCACACTCACGAGGTTAGTCTGTAATCACTCACCTTGGACCATACTGGAAGCACCCAAGACTAGGACCTCCTGCTACTCCTCACCACATGGTTCAATCCTCTCTACTTGAGAATAAAAGGCCATTGGAGCGTCAGGATAACCCCTAATACTGAGCTACCATGCAAATCATTCTAAAACACACCAAGGGCACCACCATGAATCCTCTCTTTGAGGAGCACAGAATTACGTCCAATGACATAGGACACCACCATGTAACCTCCCTTGAGATCCATGGAATTACGTCCATCAACCATACTTTATTACATTCAACCACCAAACATGTCTCATACATTCACATACTTTCAATATAATCACATTACCACCATCATACTATGCATTCCAATCATTCCACGCACTTTGTTCAACCAATAACAAGAGTAAAAGAGAATTCTGAACTCAGAGGATTCGCACAGCGCACCCTATTCGCAAGGCGAGACAGGATGGTCTCACACAACGCACCCTAATTCGCATAGCAAATTAGCTCGCTGAGGCTACAGACCTCAGGTCTCTCGCATAGCGTACCAAGGTCGCTATGCGAAAGCTCAGATAGAGAGCACACCTCCAAACCTTCTCGCTTTGCGCCCATCTCGCTCTTCGAATTAAAAGGACGGTGGTTCCAGACCACCACTAGTCGCATAGTGATAGGATTCGCTAGGCGGATCCACAAACAGATAGCAGCACCCTCTAGTCATTTGCACAACGCACCAGCTCGCACAACGAATGACCCAGACAATGAGCACCCTCTACAGGGTCTCGCTATGCGAGACAATTCGCATAGCAAGACTGCATAATCTGCAGAACGCAAGTTCTACAAAATTATGCAACTCACACACCCTTAACCAATTCTAGGCCCTTTTATCAACTTCTAACACCCCCAATTCGTGTATTAAGCTTAATTAAACTTGCCTAGATGATCCTAACTCTCCCTATTACTAATCTAAAGTGATTAAGATCAAGTTTTATCTTTTAAAACATCAATTTCTACAACTTAAGGATCCAATTTCGATTTTACCATTTCTAAGAGGTTTTAGGCCAGTTTTATGATCCTAACAAGTCACAAATGACTTGCCTAAGATGTCCCAACAGCCCAAATGTGCCTAGAACCCCTACTTCCCAAATCCACCACCTCACTTCCCCTAACTTGACCTAAACCACTACCAATTTACTCAAAACAGTGCATACTTACCTTACCTTCCACTTGATCACCCATTCAACAGAATACATACATCAAACATACCCAATTTCAGATATCCACTTCATGCAAACAACTACACAGTCATTAATTCCAGCATCACAGATTATACAGTTAGGTTCATGTAACGCGTCATACCCAAGCAAGTGAAATACCACTCCAAACAGCATACCAAGTCATAATATAGCATACATATGCCTCATACAAACAACGCAAAGATGTATTTCTAGCTCCCCTTACCTTTGAGTTAAATCGCACAACTCACTGGAATGCCCTAACGGTACCTCACACAGCAAGGACCCAACCAAACCCTACAAACCACCACATTGATGGTAGAAAACAACTCTTAGAGCTAGAATGGAATGGAAAATGAAAAAGATGAAAGCACAAGACACATGCAACCAGCACAGATTCCATGTGTTAGTTTTAAGAACGAAAAAGAGGTTGCATGCAGGGACTTACCAGCCTAGAACCCGAAACGAATCGGTCCGTTGCGAAGCCCTCTACGTTGCGGACGTTTGGGCATCACCTAAACAGAAATCCAGTGATTCAATAAAGAAGACTGGAAGAGAGAAGACAAAGATGTGGTAGAGAAAAGACAAAGAAAAATATAAAACTGAGTTTTAGAGAGATAATAAGGTTTGAGCTAATGAGTCAGAAAGTTCTAAAATGTGCTTTATAAAAGAAAAAAAGAAAAAATATTTTCGTTCATTAACTTAATATCCTATCAATTTTCTAATTCAAATTTTTAAGTCTGATAAATACTGTTTTATGCATCAAAGTTTATATTAGAGAAACGGGCGTAAAAAAAAAGTACTAATTTCAATAATATTTTTGTTAATGTTATTACTTAATAGTATAAACCAAAATTGTTGAAAGAAAAAAAAATACAGATATATAACACTGAAAAACTATATCTTATTATCAAAGAAGAAAATAAGAGTCAAACTCTCGTTTCAATTGTTATGAGTAGAAGACTTTATTGGAGGTCTAAAAATCTATTGACATGTTATTAAAGCCAAATATTATTTTTTATATATTGAAAAAACAGGAAATAAAACATTAAGATACAGTACATATAATTTATAATTCTCAACCCAATTGTGACTGTAATTATTATTATTATTATTTTTTTTTTTTTGTTTCAGGTGCAACCTTTCTCGAACGTGGGATTTTAATTTCTAGTTTAATTGTATTTTGATTCCTCTAGTTTAAATTATGTGTAACTCTATCCCTTTGCACTATTTTAAAAATGATGCAAATTTAATCTGTCCGTCAATTTCTTTCAACTTAAAATTTCCAAATTTAGTGGAAACTTGAAAAAACTTTGAAGGAAAAAAAAATCGAGATGATTCTTTTAGTTATTGGAATTTGAATAATTAAAAATAATACAGACTAAATTAACTTAAAAAACAATTCAAATTTAAATACACCTATAATTTAATATTCCCTTTGACAACCCCACATGAGCAAATGAATTGGAGACAACCTTTGAAAACTGAGAACAGCACATGCTAAAGACGTACGTCACGCTATATTCATTGGTTTCACTACTATTATATTATTATATTTTATGGGTGTGTATATTTATATATGCAATAATGCAATTATAATGTCTATATACAGCTATATATATGGATATAGATGAGGACAAAAACTGCTAAAGGGTGAGTTACATTACAGATATCAGTGGCGTATACGATAACAGAAGAAGATATGGAGATAGAGAAGAAGAGTGTGGAAATGGACAGTGGCGAGGTTACTGAGAAGAAGAACAAGAAGAAATCACAGCAACGTCGTGGTGGTATCAGAACATTACCTTTCATCCTTGGTTAGACAACATTCATATTATTGTTTTTATTTTATCATATTGTTTTGTTTTTTTACCATTATAACAGGGTTTACCATTTATGAAAGAGTTATTATTTACTATTAGGGTTCCCTAATATCAGTTTTAATGGGTCTTATTTGTCTTTTAAAATGGTTGAATTGCTTTAAGAAAAACAAGATTATAACAGAGGATTAGAAACTGTCTTGTAATTCTGGTCATTTACACTTGATGCATGTCTTATTTTTGCTCATAATGATTAGGTTAACTTTACAATTATCATTTTACTCTCTCTATTTTAGTTTTTTAAGTTAAAAATAGTAGCTAGTGTAAATTTATTTCCATTTTTGCATCAATTCTTAATATATATATATATATATATATATATATATATATATATATATATATATATAAAGAATTGTTAAATTTATATTTTAGGTTACTATGGAGTCTATGACCATTAGACTAAAATACGAAAAAGACTGATTTATAAAAAGTCAGGGTAATGCTTGTATATTTTTTACGAACATGCATGAAATTATATTATATTGCATAGATGTTATTTCCTTTATTAATTAATCATAAATTGATAGGAAAAACTTCACAAATCATGTGTCAGTAATATAACCATTTTAAGTCAAGTGGTTACCTAATTTACTATTGGAAAATGATACTTGAACAACCATTTTTGACAACATTTAGATATGCGCACACGTGTCAAAATCTGAGTGGTCCATTTTCATTTAATTTTTCCAACTGGATCACTCAGATTTTGACACGTGTGCGCGTGTCTAAATGTTGTCAAAAATGGTTGTTCAAGTGTCATTTTCCTTTACTATTATAGTGACTCGATCTTTCGTCTTGTACGGCTTATATATAACTTATCTTTCTAACTTATCATTATTTTAAAGTTTATATAAAACTTTAAATATAATTAACATATTTATCAAAAGTAATTGATATATATATATATATATATATATATATAATTTTTTTTATTGCTTTGGATATGTATTTATTGATTTCAATAATAACTAATTTCTCCTATAAGGATTTAAGGATGTGGTGACCATTTCTAATAAAATTTCCATTTACAATTATGTATACTTTTCCCACTAGTGCAGAAAGGGCTTTAGACGTCTGTTTTTTTGGCCTTTTGACGTTCGACGTACACCCGCCGTTTATGTGGGTGACGTTACTTAGACGTCCGCTGTGTCAGGACGGACGTCTATATAGACGTCCGTCCTGACAAGCGGACGTCTATATAGACGTTCGTTGTGCAAGACCCTAAACGTCCGTTTGGGGGGCGGACGTCTATAATATTATAGACGTCTGCTTCCTCCCAGGACGGACGTTTTAGGGCAGACATGGGAGTTGAAGCGTTGATTTTGTTCAGCCCCTTAAACGTCCGCCCCGCTCCACGGACGTCTATAATATTATAGACGTCCGTCCCCCCGCACAACGGACGTCTAGAGTTTCACTTATTTACGAAAATGTCACCGGTCAATTACTTACTTTGGGCCTTTTGTGAATGGACGTCTATGGGGGGACGTTAAAAGCCAATTCTGCACTAGTGTCCACAAATTAAATTAAAAAGTGATAAAGTTCGGTAGTACTTGGACCAATAATTTGATGGTGTAATATTTACTTTGAATTAATGACATATTCTCCAATAAAATTCATTTAAAAAACTAATATTTTCTAATAAATATTTGTGTCACCTTTTCATTAATACATTCATTTTATTTAAAATTACCTCTCAAAATATATGTTATGGATATTGTAAATTTAATATTCTATTATTTTATTTCGGGTTAAATATGTTTTTAGTCCTTCAACTATCAAATGTTTTTTGGTTTAGTCTCTCTTTCAAAGTTTGTTCCACTTTCATCCTCTTGTTAATGAAACTGGAATTTTTAGTTCTTAAAAACTGCTTTAAATTTTCAATGAACTTGGCAACGGTGTGCCACGTTTTCATGGCATGTCAGAAATTGAAAATTCAGGTGAAAATGCTTTGGTTCTCTTCCTCGTTACCATGGCTAACGGTTCTCTCCCTCTCTCCGCCTCGGCCTCCACCCTCAACACCATCACCTTCACCCCGGCCTTCCACCTCGATCCCACCGCCTCTCTGGAAAGCCTCTCATCTCGCCGTTCCTGCTGGGTGCGCGACGCCAAGTATTTGGGTCGGGTTCATCCCACCGTTAATCTTTCCCCTCTCCTCTCTCATTTTAAAACCTTCTACAGCGACTGGAGTTGATACATTAGACTAAGTCATACGTTACCGTGTTTAGGCCAGTAATGTCAATCTTCTTGGGTATAGTGTTTTTACCTTGTCTTCATATAACTTATAGTGTTTAATTGTTCTATATGGCGATGGTTGGTCCATTATTTAAAGTTAAAATGTTATCTATTTTTGTTTATTGTAATCTGATGAAACTCTAGGGTTCAGTACTTATGGTGTACACACAATAAGTAAAAAATCAGCAGAAAAATGTTGTACTTTTTTCTTCCTACCTTCATCTGCAGTCCATCTTGGCAAAGCTAGAAACTCTCAATGAGTAATGGCTAGTTTTGAATGCTAATGAACTCACATAAAATTCTCTTTTATCCTGTTCTGTTACTTCAAAAACTGTGGAGTTTCAGAATCATTGGAGTTGATACATAAAAATTCTCAATGAGTAATGGCTAGTTTTAAAAGACCAATTTGTGATAGGGAGAGGAATACAATGTGTATATAAAACCATGGAAGTACTGTAACATGCACTGTTTTAGTCTTACCTTTGGAGACATCTCTATATTTTATACTTCTGGTGTCATTGACCATGTTAGTGCGGAGCTTATTGGTGTATTAGACCTCTTTTGATACAACTTTTACTATAAACGGATCTTGAACTCTTTTAACCATATGTTTTGCTCGACACACGCTGTAGATATCAAACTTGGCACATGGTTGGATCAATATATAATGCTTTCCTAAATGATTTCAGAGCCTCTGGATAAAGACCTCTGGCTTCAAAAAGTAAACCTGCAAAAACCTATCCTATGAATTTTGCTACCTTAACAAAATGAGACTTAATAACTTAAGGAAGTTTGGAATGTAAAACACGTTAAGCTTCAAATAATTTAAGATTCCTCATTTTTGTGGAGAATTATATCCTTTCTAAAATTATATTGAAAACAAACGATATATTCTTTGTGTGCCATCTAGAAGCAAAATAAGGATTAATAGCCTCATATTTCTCCAGACAAACTTCAACATCCTGCCACTGTGATAAGACCATATACACATTGGATAAATATATTTCCATTTCCAGTCTTCTGTCACAGTTTCCCTTTCTCTTCTGTATGACAAAATTAAAGTTATTCTACATATATTAAAAAGGTAGAATTTAAATAAATTTTTAATATTCTTTTCCCCTTACTTGTCGTGCTTAAACTTTTATTTTGGACATGAAGGATCACTCTCCCTCAGTGTAAATCGGATTACATTTATTTTGAAAGAATATTTGATTCCTTCTTTAGTGTAAATCTTATTGTCTGCACAAATTTTTGAAGCTAGAAGTAGCTCCTTTATGCAGTTTGAGTTCTCTTTGTGATTCAGAGAGTTCCTTAAAAGATCCAAAGCATTCGTATGTTTCTCCACAGTAACAAAGAGCCAGAGTATAAAATATTTCTTTTCTGTCCATGTTTTCCGGAAGCAATTCCTCAACCTGTTGAGCTAGAGCCATGAATTCCACAGAAACACTTAGAGCAAACGAAAGCTGATCAATTAACAAAAGGTCTCATTCAATGTATCGAAGAATTGCATAAGTTGGACCGATGGATTGGTTGTACTAATCATGGATAATATTTTATGTGATTTAAAACATACGGATTCATGTGATTTAAAAGAAATGTATCGAGAAGGATAATTTAAAGGATATATGTAAGTGTAAATTTTTTGGTTAAAGTATAATTCTTAAAATGATATCAAAATAATAGGTTAAAGATTATTTTAGTAAGATTTGCGTTTGTTTGACGTATATTTTACTCGTATCATTAATATTTAGTTTTATAAATAAAATGTATATACTTTGACGTAATGTGTAGAAAGTTTATATCAGATAAAATTAATTTAAAATATATACATGAAATCTTTTACGGGTTGAATTAGATTTAAACTTCAATTTTTTAATATGTCCGGTAAAATATGATTGTATTTTCATGCATAATGTTGAGTTTGACATTGTTTATGAATGTTGAGGTAAATGGTTGTTGGGTGTGTGAATATGCAGCAAATGAATTCTGTGATAGATTTGCAGTAGCTGGTTTCAATGGAAACTTGATAAGTTACCTGACCCAAGTGCTGAACATGCCACTCGTATCTGCCTCAAACATTCTCACTATATATGGTGGAACAGCTAGCTTCACCCCTCTTCTTGGTGCTCTCATTGCTGAGTCCTTTGCTGGTCGCTTTTGGACCATCACTGTTGCTTCTCTTATCTATCAACTGGTTTCTTACCTTCTCCTTTTCTTCATACAATCTCATCATATTCCCACTCACTTACTGAATCTGTAATCACACTAATGACCCTTCCAAATACACTAAATATTTCATTTAAGAAACATGTTTTTTCTCTTGCTTGATACAGGGACTGGTCAGTTTAACAGTATCAGCTATACTGCCCCATTTTCGCCCCCCACTATGCCCAACACAAGTGAATTGCCAAGAAGCCAAACCTTCTCAACTGAGCATATTCTACATCTCTCTCTTCCTCACATCTCTTGGATCAGGTGGCATTAGGCCTTGTGTTGTGCCCTTTTTAGGGGACCAATTTGACATGACCAAAAATGGTGTGGCATCTAGGAAATGGAACCTCTTCAATTGGTACTTTTTCAGCCTAGGATTGGCTTCTCTTAGTGCCTTGACCATTGTTGTTTACATTCAAGACAACACGGGCTGGGGTTGGGGCTTCGGCATTCCAACTATTGTCATGTTTGTATCCATCATTGCCTTTGTGTTGGGGTCACCACTTTACAAGACTCAGAAACCAGAAGGTAGCCCTTTGGTTCGTTTGGTTCAAGTGATTGTGGCTGCTATAAAGAAGAGGAACAAGACTTTGCCAAATGATCCCAAGTTTTTGTACCAAAACAGTGACCTCGATGCTGCTATCTGTCTGGAAGGAAGACTTTTACACACAACTCAATTTAAGTAAGTCAAATATTTGGTTCTCAGGTCTTATTTTCAAAACAGTCATGATATCACATTTCAGCCAATATAAAAAGTATATGATTCTTTTCTAACATTCCATATGCATGAATATGCACTTAACAAGGTAATAAAGGATTTCATATTGATTTCATGAATAGGTAAAATAGCATCAGCTAAGGGGTTTCACTGATCCAACATTGCTAAAAACTTCATAATTGAATATAGTTCATGGATTTGCACGCTAAACATTGCTTCACTATATCCACAGATGGTTAGACAAGGCTGCAATTGTCACAGGGGAAGAAGGCAGAGACTCAAATGCACCACCGAACTGGTGGAAATTGGCCACTGTTCATAGAGTTGAGGAGCTAAAATCCATCATTAGAATCATTCCAATTTCTTCCTCAGGAATTTTGCTCATAGCTGCTTCATCACATCTTCCCAGCTTTGTAATTCAACAAGCTCGCACAATGGACCGACACCTCTCTCACTCATTCCAAATTTCCCCAGCCAACATGTCCATTTTCAGTGTACTAACCTTGATGTCAGGAGTTGTTCTATACGAACGCCTCTTTGTTCCGTTTATCCGTAGGTTCACAAAGAACCCTTCAGGAATCACAACCCTACAAAGAATGGGAATAGGCTTTGTGATTAACACTATAGCCACATTAATTTCAGCACCAGTTGAAGTAAAAAGAAAAGCTGTTGCCGCCAAGTACCACTTATTGGATAGTCCAAATTCCACTATTCCTATCAGTGTGTTCTGGTTGGTGCCTCAGTATTGTTTGCATGGCTTAGCAGATGTTTTCATGTCTGTGGGGCTTTTTGAGTTTCTCTATGATCAGTCACCTGAAAGCATGAGAAGCAGTGCCACTGCTTTGTACTGTATAGTAATTGCCCTTGGGAGCTATGCTGGTACACTAGTTGTATCACTTGTGCATAAGTATAGTGGCAAGGAGGAGAATTGGTTGCCTGATAGGAACCTCAACAGGGGTAGATTGGACTACTATTACTTGCTTGTTACTGGGATTCAAGTCTTGAATATCATTTATTTTGGAATTTGTGTTTGGTTTTACACTTACAAGCCCTTGGAAGAATTTACTCAAGTGAGCATTCACAAGGATTTGGAATTGGAACAGGACAATAATACAAACATCTCATCTGCCAATTCCAAAGATGGTGGAGATGCTGAATAAAGAAAGTAAAGAATATGGTGTATTCCGTTCCACTCGTCATTAGTTTGAATGTATAATCTCAAGGCTTTATCGAAGATCATGTATGAGTATGTCATTTCAATTTATGGTTCTAGCAATGAAACTTGAAACTATTTAAGAATGACAATAATATTACAAAATTGTTTGCCACGTAAAAAGAAAAAAAAAATAACAGCGTTAGTCATTGAAAACTAAATCCATGAGTTTCAAAAGGAGATGGACCTAGATGGAACAAAGCTGAAAAGAAGGATTAAAACCAAATATAGTTAGAAATAAAAAACATAATTAATTCTAAAAAAATATCGACATTATGTGACATTTCATACTATACTATCAAATGGATTCTCCCAACTCTATACTTACAACCCCAAAGACGTATCAATTGAACCATATCTCCACATCAAAAAGAGTTCAAATTGCAGGTTCTAAACAAGAGATCCATATTGAAACAACGCAAGTAAAATCATAAATTTCTCAACAATAGGGCTCTTGATAAACTTCACATTCCTTCTGATTTGACTGCTCACATCCACAAATTTCATAATTCCTATCAATCATGTTTTATAACAAACTTTACTACAATGTTTAAAACACAATTTATAAAGAAAAAAATTAACTTCCCTTACCTTAAGATAGACAATTAATATTGTTCTTCCCTTACATAGCTTCGAAGCGTAAAATATTTTTATTTTATCCAAAGTGGTATCATTAATGATGAATATTATAGTGAAAACGGGAGACTATTTACTAGAATTGTCATGTTTAGAAATGATAACATGTGTAAAGAATTTAAGTTTAAAACTTGGTATAACATTTTTCATCTTTACAACATTTCTATAAGACATTGGAGATGTTAAAACACACAAATAGGTGTTCTTGTTAGACCAACTAAAGAAAACAATAGAAAGAACAACAAAGATTATCATATTTTGCAAACTTAATATGACTTTATTCTTGTTTTCTTACTTAACATCAATTAAGTGCTATCAATTTGCAACACACAAATTTTTTTTAAATAATTTGATACTATCCTTTCTTAGTTTTTACTTCCTTTTTTTCTTCTAAAAATACAAAAATTAATTATTTTAAGACCATTTTATCTTTATAATACATGTCAAATGTGTCTCTTCCTATTATTACTCATTTGCAAAAATAAATAAGAGAACTCACTCTTTTTATCACTGGAATCTTTTCACACAATGTTGTATATCTTTCTATGTCTAATTATATTTATTTAGAAGAAAAAAATACATATAGTTCTTATCCTTCATTCTTCGTAATAATGAATCAAATGACTTTAACTTTCCCACTTAACATTTAAAACTAAATGGAACACTGAATATAAAACCAGCTCCAACAAAAGTTGTTCTTCATTATTATAGTTATATATTAAATATTAAATACGTAACATATGCAGCAATGAATAGGATAATTATCAGAATTGTTTAATACAAAGAGAGAAGGGAGAACAGTATATATCAACTTACAATTTCCCTTACTCATATTCTAACCTAGTATGTAGTAACAAACTTTGTTCAATACAAAAAAAAAACACAAACAACAATGTTGCCTAACTCATTTCAACAACAAAAGTTAATATTAATTTTAATTTTCTTCCTTCTTTCATTTGCAAGATCTTTTAGCTCTTGTTCACTTAAATGGATTTAGAGGAGAGTGATTGAATAGATTTGAGAGGATTTGAAAGTAATTTTTTTTGCTTATTTGAATCGATTTTGGATGTAAGTGAGAGTAAATTTGGAAGTAAATTTGGAAGTAAATTTTTTTTAATTTGTCACATCAATCAAATTCTACACTAATTCTCACAAACTTTACTTCCAAATCCACTCTCAGTTACTTCCAAAATTCACTCAAATAAACAACAAAAATTTTATCTTCAAATTCATTCAATCACTCTCCTTCAAATCCATTCAAGTGAAAAAAGTCTTAGTCTATCAACTTTTTTATTTGCTCTTTTCATGGTTAATTTTACTCATGTTTATATCTATTGCATTCTGTAACATCCCAAAAATACAGTAATAAACCATACATTAGAAATAATTACAATTAGTAATATATCAGTTCGGTCTTATACTAATCAAGCGTACGATCTTGGCCGAACGGCCTTACATAGAGCTATAAACTTAACTGCACAAGATAAACAAGACTAGACCGAACGGTTTACAAAAGGGGTTATCGAACGGTCATTCCTACCAAAAGAAAAAGGTGACCGAACGACACCTTATACTAACTAAACTATACTACTAACCGAACGTACTACGGTTCGGCCTTAACTTCCACATCGACGAGGTTCTCTTCCTCCAAATTTCCTTCTTCCAGCGCCTCTTCCAGTAGCGCGTCTCCATCTGCTCACATCCACAAGGATTATCATTGCAAAGACAAGGACAGACGTACAAACGAGACAACATAAGGAAAAACACAGGGTAAGCTTATGTAATTTAATTCAAGTAGTAACATGCATTTCTCACATTCAAACATATCAAATACATTCCAATATAAGATTCAATCAAGCCCTAATACTAGACTGACTGTCCGGACTGTATGAATTCTGTGTAGCTACGACGTTCGTGCACCCGGGTGATGTAGTAACTAGAATTCTCATCAGCTGTCACCCGAGGTTAGTCCGTTCCGTCCAAAGTACCCCTAAGGACTAGGACCTCTTGTCGTTCCCACACATGAACTACCCTCCTCTACGTGAGGACGAGTACTCACGGAACATCAGGATGAACCGCCAGCTAAGCATTTCCACATTCATACTTTACCAATTCCAATATTCATCCAAGAGTCGTTCCTCCCCGGAACGCTCGTTCAAAATTCACAACCTTTAATTTATCCCATATACTCTTCATCATTTATAATCCTTCACTTTAATGTCATTTTTATCATCATTTCCAAGAACATCAAATACCGAACGTTCAGCCCTCTTCAGAACAAGGACGAACGACAGGGACGAGATAAGGAACTCCCTCGTCCTAGAACAGAATACTACCGAAAGGGGTTTACTGTTAATTTTAGAAATGAATGAGGTACAACTATACAATATATGACGAACTTCTTTTGCAACATGAATCAGTTAAATGAACTGACTCTCGTGAATTTCAACCAAAACTCAAAGAATACATGGATACGGGAACTCTAGATCCGAGACCATAAAGGTAGACACATTAGGACGTCAAAGAAATATACTCAGAATAGTTCACATACAGAAATCTCATGTCAGTAAATGACCGAACAAGGCAAAGGAAAGTTCTTCCGAAGTTGGACGAACGCTACTTCATCAAGGTAGATCAACTATAAAAAGTACTAGCGCTTGGTGTAAGACCGAGCACCACTAAAAATTAAAATAAAAGATTAATAAATGAGATATTATCTGAATGGTGTTTTAAGAATAATTACATATACAAGTACGTATATATATATAGATACAGAATTTAAGTTTACTACTGAACACTCAGATGCAACTACGCTTGACCGATCGTTCAAGCACAACATTACAATAAGAAGGCGCTCGTCCTCAACTAGAATTCTTTCCAAATGAAAGAATCCCATTTCAACTATGTTCAACAGGAAAATCGAACGGTCAATGACCGTTCCGTAGCGAACGTACATTATCATAGGGAATTTCATATTTTAAATCTCCTTTATCTTCACTCATTGTTCCATACATCATTTCATAACTTTATGAATTCATATCAATATCAATTCGCATACTTTGCACAACTCATATTATACTAATAAGTCATATTCCACATAAACAATCATCTCAACATTCATACTTCATATATGTTTAATCACTCAGCAACAAGCATTCATTATTAACGAACGTACAACAACATACAATTAAATTAGATAAATTTCCCTTACCTCTAGTGTGAACGTACGTCCTTCAGAATAAAACTCACTTCGCGGAATTAAGATTTCTTCAACTCTCAACGCTCAACCAAACTCTTCAAACTAAAACAAGTTACATAAAACTACTATTGATTCAGACAAGGTGATCTCATGCAACCAGAGCTTGGTTTGCATGTTCATACGAACGAACAGCTAGGGACGAGAAACTTACCAGTTTCAGAATCCGGAACTGTTCGGTTCAGAATGAAGCTTATGACGCCGGGAACGCTTCTACGGTCTTTGAATGATGATCGGAGAAGAGAAAGATGAGTTACAATAGAGAGAAGGGAGAGTTTTCTAGAGAGAAGAAGGAAAAAATGAAAGATCAGATTTTTGGAAGAAGAAAGGTGCATGCAGAGAGAGTGGGAAGGAGGTTTTCAGAAAAAAAATCATTTTTCTTCCCACGTAAAACGAGCGTTCGCTCTTCTGCTGACACTTGCATCCCACTATCTGATTTCGGATTCTCGTTTCTTGACACCTGGCGTCCCTGTAGAGGATTTTGGATGCGTTTTAAATGAGCTGACAGAAGAAGTTTTGAGTGCATATTTACGAGATCTGACACATCCGCTTCAATATCTTCCATTTAAAAAAAAATGCACGATTTTAGGATTTTCAAAATGAAACTTATGTTAATCAATTAATATCATGTCACACCAACCCACTCATACATGTTTGTTTACATCCTTATCATAAAATCGTACCACATAGACCAGCATGCATATCCATGAAAGCAATGGGATCATCTTTACTTCCTTTATACTGCTAGAAAATATTTCTTTTAAATAGACAATTTTAGAATTTGTCAGTTCAGAAATGATTTGAGAACAATCGAGATCTCTAAATTGATCTTTTTAACCGATTTAAATAGATTTTTTTAATTATATGGTTGAATCATAAGCTGCAAAGTATAATTATTGAAACGGAAATCAAAGACTGATATGATGCAATGAAGTGTGATAAAAAGTTGTTTGTATAGTGGTGTTCAGTGAATGATTATTAAGCATAAAGTTCGGCAGAGAAGGACAAGGAGAAGAGGGACCATAAAAAATGAAGCAGAGCGTGGTGTGGCTCTGCATCGTCGATGTGTTATTGACTTTTGCAGGCACTCAGTGTTGAATTCTGCAGTGTGAACTGAGTACGATGGTTTGTTAAGAAGTGGATAGATGACTGATCGTGTTAGTGCGTTAATGAATAGCCAATGATGTCAAAATTTTCACTTTCTTTTCTTTTTAAATT